TGCCCAAATAAATCTGTTAGTCTTTAAGGTGCCACCAGACTCCTTGTTGTTTTTGTGGCTACAGACTAACATGGCTACCCCTCTGATACTTTCCCTCGACAATTAGTGTTAAGTTTTCCATCCTCAAAATCTCTTTAACTAATTGATCTTGCAGTGCAGCTGTGATTTTTTGTGGATTATGTACTATAGGATCTATAGTGATATTCATTTTAGATTAGGGAGTTACCTGAGGAATGCAAGATTAAATACATCATTGCATTCTTACTTTAGAAGTGTAGGCCATCTGGATTAGCAGGTGTTAAGTAGTACTAGATCTGGAAGCTTCCCACTGTCATTACCAAGTTAATGAAATCAATACAGTGTTGCTGTATTTACAATGAGGCGCTTTAAATACTTTGTATTCTTGTTGTGACTGTAATTTACTGTATGTACCTTGCACATCCAGTGCTTCACCATGACCAAACAATTTCTGGATTGTATGTTTATGGGCATTTCAAGATTTATTTTGTGGGTATTGTAGTAGCTTGTGTAATAATGTTTCATTTACACTTAACCTGTTGATGCTCATCTCCAATAATATTACCTGTGAACACTTGGATTATGTCTACACTACCCGCCGGATCGCTGGGCAGCGATCGATCCAGCAGGGATTGATTTATCGCGTCTAGTCTAGACGCGATAAATCAACCCCCAAGCGCTCTCCCATCGACTCCTGTACTCCAGTGCTGCGAGAGGCGCAGGCAGAGTTGATGGGGGAGCGGCAGCAGTCGACTCACCGCAGTGAAGACATGTAGCTGAAGTTGCGGAACTTAGATCAATTTCTCCCCGCCCCCCCTCCAGTGTAGACCAGGCCTTGGTCTAGTTGGGCTGCTGCTGCTGAAACTGTTGCTACTGCTGGTCATATGGGAGTGATTGTCTCCATGAAAACACTATCTGTGTATTGTAAGGCTGCTCATCCAGTCTATGTATTCGTTTGGATTTTCACATTTCTGCATAATTTCCTTTAATATTTGTGGGAAATCTGTCCTTTTACTATCAAATCATCTGACTTGTAGGGAAAGTGGATTTTTAACACTGGATTGAAAAAATCACTTGAGAATATACAGTAAGAAATAGCCAGGCAGGGAGTATGCTGGATGGCTTAATACAGTGGTTCTCAAATCTGATCCGCTGCTTGTTCAGGGAAAGCCCCTGGTGGAAAGGGCCGGTTTGTTTACCTGCCGTGTCCGCAGGTTCGGCGGATTGCAGCTCCCCCTGGCCACGGTTTGCCGCTCCAGGCCAATGGGGGCTGTGGGAAAGGCGGCCAGCACATCCCTCGGCCCGCAGGCCCCTGGAGTGGCGAACCGCGGCCAGTGGGATCCGCGATCGGCCGAACCTGCGGATGCGGCAGGTAAACAAACCAGCCCGGCCCGCCAGCGGCTTTTCCTGAACAAGCGGCGGATCGGCTTTGAGAACCACTGGCTTAATAGGTCCTTTTCTTTTCTAATGTCTATAATTCTAAGGAAAAAATGAACACAGAAGACCTGATGGATGTTTTATATATGATTTTGTCATTTTCTAACAGCATTTTCAATGCCTATGTTCAAATAGAGGCTTTGTATAATATTATGGAGATCAACAGCACTTGGTTCCTGTTTGATCTCTGAAAGATCTACTAGAAAACCCTCTGTTTTTTAAAGTGTTTTCAGTTATTTTTTTGTCTTTGTTACTGAGTTATTTAAAGACTGAAAATGTTTGTCCAGTCCAATATGTAAAATAAAGCATGAGAAAGCTGTGAATATGATTAAACACATTTCAGGCTTGTTATAACACAAACCACTTAAACTTTGCTGTTGTGGTTACCATGATGTTATCAGATGTCTTCACATGTGTATTGCCTTCTAGGCAGTTCACAGTTAACTGGGTAAACATTTGTATCTGTGAGATTGCATATACATACTCATGTGATCAAGCTATCCAAAGAATAAATTCCTTTTTGTATACAAGCATGCAATGAATTGCATTTATTTTCCTCCTTTGACCACCTCATTTGAACTCTGCCCACTAATCCATTTCTGCTGGCACTACATTTAATATTTCAAACCTTTGAGAAGCTGTCCAACAGTTTCTACTGCTATTTACTTAAAAAAAAAATCCCACAAAAAATTATGCTTCCTGAAGTCAGTCCTTGACCAGGGATAGTCTTAAAGTCTGGTGTCTTGTTGCTTCCTAATGCTAGAAATATATGTTATTCTGTACTGCTGGAATTTGTGAAAGATATAGTATTGTTAGTGGATTGTCAGGTGAATTGTGGCATAAGAGCCTTTAAAATTATAACACTCTAATGCCCTCATGTAGGGGTCTTTAACAATTAATGTGATAAACCTTGCTAGCTGGGATTGTTTATCTTAAAAAGGAGAAAATGGGGACAAGATAAAATAATGAATGTCTAGAGAAGGTAGATTGTGAGCTTCTATTCTCCCTGTCTCAACTCAAGAACAAAGGGACATTATATTAAATTAAAAGGTGGCAATTTCAAAACTGATGAAAGGAAATACTTTTTCACAAAAAGCTAGCAAGATTCAAAAAGGGATTAGACATATGTGAATATCAAGAATATTCAGAGTTATAGTAAATGCTCACCTAAATTTTTAAGATATAGTAAACCTCATGCTTATGTTTTTAAACTAATCTAGCAATTAGGGCCTGGGAGGTTTCTTGTGCTTTCATCTGAGGTGCCTGGGCCAATTGGAGACAAGATACTAGACTAGATTGGAATTCCTATGGTCCTATGAAATAATGGGGTTTAAACATCATATGTAAACAGTATTTTTATTTTAGTCAATTTTTAAAACTTTGGAGAACAAGATGCTATGGTAATGGGCACCATACAGAAATAAGATATCTAATTTTCTAACTTAACTTTGTTTAGGCAAGTTCCATTTGATTTCAAAGACAGGAAGAGTGGAAAAAAGTGTAGAGGCTCACTGTGGAGCTGTACTTGCAGGAAGATGGAATTATGAAGGAACAGCATTGGTTACAGGTAAGAGTTTTTCCTTAAAGAATTAAAGATGGAAATTAAAATAACAAAAAGTCCTTTGCAGGAGACTATAATTTAAAGATATGAGGTTAATATGCTAAATAGCTTCAAAAGAAGGGAATGGTATACCACTTATGTATTAGGGGCAGGGGCTTGTGTACGGGGCCACTTAGTGAGTGTCAAGCCAGGGAATAAATCTACAGCACACTAGCCTGCCACACACTAAGTGGTTGTGTGGACCCTGCAGCCATGCACAAAAAGTGCCATAGATAGTGCACTTTGATTTACTCCTATTTTTGTGGTGTCGGGGTCCACACATCCACTTAGTGTGCGGGAGGCTGGTGTACTGTAGATTCACACCACAGCTTGCTACGCACTGAATTGCCTTATGAACAAGCACTTAAGTTATTAAACAATTCAGTTTATGGAATACAAGTAACTACTTCCTCTGAGGGATAAATCCGGTTGAATTTGTATAGAGGCAACTTTGAGGTGAATCCTTGACATTTATTTAGAAGCTGCAGATTGAAATTTCATAAACTTAATTGCAGTTGCACCAAATTTGGATAGATAAAACTGAATCTATGAGTCTACAAACAGGAGACCCAGCATTAAATGCATAAGAAAAAGAGCAGTAATTCAAGAATGGGGACACTACATTGTTGATTTTAATGAATTTAACTGAATCAATTAATACATTTAAAAATAAGAACAGTGATTTACAGTTAAGGTAATGTTCTTATGGTTAATGGATAGTTATGCAGTGATAACTCATCAATACCAGTTAAAAAGAATGAATTCTGATTGTATTTTTGTATGCATAAGGCAATCAGAAGAAATTATTGAAAATGTAAAATATGTTAATTTTCAAATGTTTAATGTAATTTGTTTATACTTTTATACTTTTTTGTTTAATTATTTTTTACTTATGAAATTAGATAAGCAGCACTATCATTGGCTGGTTTACATTCTAGGTAGTTACTATGTTATATATTAAACATTTAATGTGTGGCCACGCACATGCGTACATTAGTGACCACTTTAGTAAAGATTGCCTAAGTGTTTCCACTTTAAACCCATCTTGAGTTGCTCAGCTTTTTGAGACTTTTCACTTTTTGGGACTGGCATTTTTCAAATCTTGGACTCCACTCACATTGAATCTCTCTGGTTTTTAGAAACATAAGTGTAGCGGTGCCTGCTCCTGGTCCCTCCACAAACTCAGTCGGAGACTGCTCCAAAGTACATGCACCAGTGTCTTTTATTGTTCGTGCCTATCCCTACCACCTACTATTTACATATCTTAGGGTATGTCTACACTACGAGAGTAGTTCGATTTTACTTAAAGCGAATTTGTGGAACCGATATTACAAAGACGAACATGTGTATCCACACTAAGGACAGTAATTAGACTTTGTGAGTCCACACTAACGGGGCAAGCATCGACATTGGAAGCGGTGCACTGTGGGTAGCTATCCCACAGTTCCCGCAATCCCCGCTGCCCATTGGAATTCTGGGTCGAGCCCCCAATGCCTGCTGGGGCAAAAAATGTGTCGAGGGTGGTTTTGGGTAACTGTCGTCATTCAACCCTCACTCCCGCCCTCCCTCCGTGAAAGCGCCGTCGGGCAATCACTTCTCGCACTTTTCTGGTGATTGACAGTGCGGACACCACAGCACCGCGAGCATGGAGCCCGCTACGATCATCACTGCAGTTATGGCCGTTGTCAACACCTCGCGCCTTATCATCCACCTTTTTCAGAGGCAGATGCTGAGAAATCGGGAGAGGAGGCTATGGCAGCGCGGTGAGGACATTAAGTCTGAGAGGGGCACAGACCTCTCACAAAGCACGGGACCCCGTGCTGTGGACATCATGGTGGCAATGGATCATGTTGATGCCGTGGAACGGCGATTCTGGACCCGGGAAACAAGCACGGACTGGTGGAACCGCATAGTGCTGCAGGTCTGGGATGAATCATAGTGGCTGCGAAACTTTCGGATGCGTAAGGGAACATTCCTGGAACTTTGTGAGTTGCTGTCTCCTGCCCTGAAGCGCAAGGACACCCGGATGCGAGCAGCCCTGACTGTCCAGAAGCGAGTGGCCAGAGCCCTCTGGAAGCTTGAAACTCCAGACAGCTACCGGTCAGTCGCGACTCAATTTGGAGTGGGCAAATCTACCATGGGGGTTGCTGTGATGCAAGTAGCCGACGCAATCGTTGAGCTACTGCTCTCAAAGGTAGTGACCCTTGGAAACGTGCAGGTGATCATAGATGGCTTCGCTGCGATGGGATTCCCAAACTGCGGTGGGGCTATAGATGGAACTCACATCCCTATCCTGGGACCAGACCACCAGACCAGTCAGTACATTAACCGAATGGGCTACTTTTCAATGGTGCTGCAAGCACTGGTGGACCATAGGGGACGTTTTACCAACATCAACGTCGGATGGCCGGGCAAGGTTCATGACGCTCGCGTTTTCAGGAACTCTGGTCTGTTTAGACGGCTGCAGGAAGGTATTTACTTCCCGGACCACAAAATAACTGTTGGGGATGTGGAGATGCCTATAGTGATCCTCGGGGACCCAGCCTACCCGCTAATGCCCTGGCTCATGAAGCCCTATACAGGCGCCCTGGACAGTGAAAAAGAACTCTTCAACTACCAGCTGAGCAAGTGCAGAATGGTGGTGGAATGTGCTTTTGGACGTCTGAAGGGGAGATGGAGAAGCTTCATGACTCGCTCTGATCTCAGTGAAACCAGTATCCCCATTGTTATTGCAGCTTGCTGTGTGCTCCACAGTCTCTGTGAGAGCAAGGGGGAGACGTTTATGGCGGGGTGGGAGGTTGAGGCAAATCGCCTGGCTGCTGATTACGCCCAACCAGACAGCCGGGCGATTAGAAGAGCCCAGCAGGACGTGCTGTGCATCCGGGAAGCTTTGAAAGCTAGGTTCCAGAGTGACCAGGGTAACCTGTGACTATTAAGTTTTTTTAAACTTAAGCTGAACCTGCCCCCGTTTCTTTACCCAGTTAATGTTGACTATCCTCTCCAGTTACCAACCCCCTTCCCCCCCTTCCAACACACCTTTAGAAATAAAATAAATGAAACTTTTTGTTCATTAACACCATTTTCTTTATTAAGGATTTTGCGGTAAAGTGTTGAAACTGGGATGCAGACTGTGATGGGGAGCGGGTGTAGTGATGGAAAGGACGCTTCTAAACTCAAAGAATGACAGGCTCCTGCTCCTAGAGCGGTCCGCAGTGGTGGACTGGTTGTTTCAACAGAGCCTGCCACCCCTCCTTTTCAGGACTCTGTGTGGGGGGGCTATGTGACTTTGTGGTGGGGGAGGGCGGTTACAGATCCCCTGCTGCGTGGCTCTGTCATCCAGGCTAAGGACCGCTGCATAAGATCTTTAACCGCCCTCTCCCACCACAAACTCATATAGCCCCCCCCCCCGAACATGAAAACCACCTCCCAGACTGACCAGTGTGCCTAATGACTGCAATGTGTGTGTGACCTTCTGCTGAACCTGCCCCCGTGTCTGTACCCTGGTAAAGGTGACTGTCCTCTCCAATTACCAACCCCCTTCCCCCCCCTTCAAACACACTGTCCTTTAAAAGAACATGATGGAAACAGTAATTAACAGAAACGTATTTTTATTAAGAACTACACAGTTAGGGGATGAAACTGGGATGGGGGCTTGGGTGACGTGCATTTGGAGGGAAGGAAAGGACGTATCAAATCTTTGGGAATGAGAGCCTTCTGTTACTTGAGCAGTCTGCAGGGGTGGACTGACTGTTTTAACGGCCCCTGCCGCCCCTCCTTCTTGGGACTTTGGGTGGGTGGGGGATGGGACTTTGTGGCGGGGGAGGGCGGCTAGCGATACAATGCAGCGGGGCTCTGTCCTCCTGCCTCCGGTCCTGCAGAACATCTACAAGGCACCGGAGCATGTCCGTTTCCTCCCTCATTAGTCCAAGCAGCGTTTGAGTCACCTGCTGGTCTTCCTGCCGCCACCTGTCCTCCCGTTCGCTGTGTGATCGCTGGTATTGCGACATGTTCTCCCTCCACTGGGTTTGCTGTGCCGCCTTGGCTCGGGAACAGACCATAAGTTCTGAGAACATCTCATCCCGTGTCCTTTTCTTTCTGATCTGCGCCAGCCTCTGGGAGGGGAATGCCGGGATAGCTCAGGAGACACTTGCAGCTGTGGGATGGGAAAAAGGGAGTGAATTCCTCAAAAAGATACATTTTTGCAAACAATGAATATAGTATTTCTCTGTGAACAAGACCATGCACAGTACCTATCACATGTGCACTCAGTACAAGGTCGAATTGTCTGTCTTCACGTTGAGTGCCTGGGGTCTTGCTGTACAGATCACACAAGCGGGGCCGGACAACGGAATTCTGCTAGCAGGCGGCCATGGTAAGCCGTAGACTTTTGGCTGCTTAAAGCTTAATTTACAGCAGTGCCCTCCTTTCACGTTCCAAGCAATGCTCCTAGCGTTGGCCAATTCCTGCTGCCGGCGATCCGGCCAGCATGAACTCTGCCCCGTCCCACCCCCATCGTGGCTGTCCCCGGGAAAGATCCCTGCATGCTGCCGGCGAACCGCTCAGCATGAACGGTTCGCCTCCCCGCCCCCACCATGTGGCTGGGCTCGGGAAAGATCCCTGCACACTGCCGGCGATCCAGCCAGCATGAACTCTGCCCCTGTTCCAACCCCGTTGCGGCTGTCCCCGGGAAAGATCCCTGCACGCTGCCGGCGAACCGCTCAGCATGAACGGTTCGCCTCCCTGCCCCCACCGCGTGGCTGTAAACCGCCAGTTACAGTTATTTAAAGGAACAGGCAATCAGTCCCCATACTAAAATTCCCCTAATTCAAAGCAGGTCACTATGAGTGATATCACTCTGATGAGGATTACGGAGACAGAGAAAGACCGCATGCTGCGTGAATGCCAGCAAACACCAGGGCCGTATGCCGCCATGCTTTGCCAGGCAATGATACCGGAGTATCTGCCGCTAGCCTGGCGCGGAAAAGTTTCCTACCATGGAGGAGGCAATAAGGCCTCTCTCCCCAGGAACCTGATGCAAAGGCTTTCACATTACCTCCAGGAGAGCTTCGTGGAGATGTCCCAGGAGGATTTCTACTCTATCCCCAGACATGTTAACAGACTTTTCCAGTAGCTGCACTGGCAATGACTAAAAAGTTAAGCGCCTAGGGCAAACTAATCATTAAAAGCCTATTGCTAACATACTATGCCTATTCTATTCAAAATAAATGTTTAAAACACTTACCTACTGATCCTTCCCCTGATTCATGGTCCAGGTTACCTCCTTGGGAGGGTTGGTAGGGGATCTCTGTGAGGGTGATGAAGAGATCCTGGCTGTCGGGGAAATCAGCGTTGAAAGCGCTGTCGACTGCCTCGTCCTCCTCATCATCTTCCCCGTTTGCGAAAGTCTCCGAGGAAGCGGCCGTTGACAATACCCCATTGTCAGAGTCCACGACAGTGGTGGGGTAGTGGTAGCGGCCGCACCTAGAATGGAATGCAGTGCCTCATAGAAACGGCATGTCTGGGGCTGGGATCCGGAGTGTCCGTTTGACTCTTTGGTCTTCTGGTACGCTTGTCTCAGCTCCTTGATTTTCACGCAGCACTGCGTTGCATCCCGGCTGTATCCTCTCTCCATCATGGCTTTTGAGATATTCTCATAGATCTTCGCATTCCGTCTTTTCAATCAGAGCTCCAAAAGCACGGACTCGTCGCCTCACACAGCGATCAGATCCAAGACTTCCTGATCAGTCCATGCTGGGGCCCTCTTTCTATTCTGCAATTGCATGGTCACCTCTGCTGGAGAGCTCTGCATCGTTGCCAGTGCTGCTGAGCTCGCCACAATGTCCAAACAGGAAATGAGATTCAAACTGGCCAGACAAGAAAAGGAATTCAAATTTTCCTGGGGCTTTTCCTGTGTGGCTGGTCAGAGCATCCAAGCTCAGACTGCTGTCCAGAGCGTCAACAGAGTGGTGCACTGTGGGATAGCTCCCAGAGATATTAGCGTCGAATTCCGTCCACACTAACCCTAATTCGACATGGCCATGTCGAATTTAGCGCTACTCCCCTCGTCAGGGAGGAGTACAGAAATCGATTTAAAGAGACCTCTATGTCGAAATAAATAGCTTCGTTGTGTGGACAGGTGCAGGGTTAATTCGAGTTAACGCCTCTCCCACCAAGTACGACACGAGCCAGAGAGCCCCGGTTGTCTTCTCCCACCCAGTGCCCATGGCTACCCGCTCAAATGTCCCCAGGAACGCATCCGGGTCATCCGCCGGGCTCATTTTACACAGTCCCCAGCCCAGGGGTCGGGTGCCTTCGCCCGTTGCAGGACTCACCACCCACTGTAGGAGCTGTGCTTGTGCGTTGGTCTGCTCCATGATAAAGTCCTGAAGGCTGCGTTGCTGTTCCACCTGCCAGGTCAGGAAGGTCTGTTTCTCAGTCTGGTGGGACAGCTGGACTTTCTGCAAAGCCTGCTGCATTTCCTCCTGCTGCTTTACCAGCCATTTGAGGGTCTTCTCCATGTCCAGGGTCGCCAAACACAGTTGCTGGCTCCGAATCCTGGACAAGCCCCCATGTGTAGCGGTGCCTGCTCACGATCCCTCCACAAACTCAGTCGGAGACCGCTCCAAAGTACATGCACCAGTGCTCTTCTATTGTTCGTGCCTATCCCCACCACCTACTATTTACATATCTTACAGACCAACCCCCTGGGAGACTGCTAGCTTCTCCTGCCAACAGGGATCTAGAGATCCTTGCTCCTCCCTTTCCTGTCTCTCCCCCTCTGCTTCCTCCCAGGCAGCTTTGTATAGCAGGCTGGCCACTCAGGCCCGCAGGTGCATCCCCTCAGGTGATTAGGGCGTGGCCTCCCTGGCCAGACCTAACTAATCCCCCTTTTAAGAGGAGCTGGGCTAACAGGGGCCTGGCTTGGATTTCCTAGCCAGCACCCTGTTACAGTAAGCAAAAAGTTTGGCTGTTTTTGAGTAGAAAGAAAGTTACAATAAATAAAAATTCCTCCCCCCCCCTGCAAAAAAAATCCCTCCAGTGCTCAAACAAAAAGGAAGCAGAAGAAGAATGTTCTTGTAACTGTTTTTTAATAGTTCAAAAGCCAAATCTGTTGTAAGTAGAAAAGTGAAATTTGGCAGATAAATAGTCCTCATGGAGGAGGAGTGACTTTGCGTTCTGGTCATAATTTATTTTCAACTATCTGAGTTAGAAGACTTTGCAAATAGAACTGTGCTGTACATTTTAAATTATGATAGCACTTTAAAGTAACACTTGGCATGAAGGTAGGCTGCAGTGTGTGTATACAAACTTTGCTGCACAGTGAATATGCATATAATGAAGGTGACATTGAACGAGGAAATGCTCCAAAAGGCTCTGACTCCCTACTTTAGGGTTTTTGGGAATGTGCAATTTAATTATGGAAATCAAGCTTTTTAGAGTTGAGAGTTCCTACAAACTTTATCCTCAAATTTCTCCATTCGCCAAGTATAAATCACCAGTTTAACCTCTAAGGCCTGATACTACTCTCTTTCGATCTACAACAACTTAAGGATATCAGGTGTGGGTTATTGAACTGTAAACAAAAGTACTAGTAATGATTAATAGGGGATGTGGAGCTAGGGGAGAGTTGGGTAATTATTGGCTCTCCCTTCCCAGAAAGCATTGTCAGGCAAGATAACCACAGGACTCTGGGTGGAGGAGAAGCTGCGATGACAGCAGCAAGAAAGCAGTTTAAATATGTTTTCCATAAGACACATTCTTTCTAATTAGCAAATAAATTAATGAATAAATAAATAGAACTAACCCTAAGTGTACCTAAATTTTAAAATGTCATATATTTTAATTTTTTTGAATTTTGAAAGAAATGTGACGACTTTCTGTTGTTTACAGTTGGTGAAGATGGACAAATAAAAATCTGGTCTAAAAGTGGAATGCTAAGATCCACTTTAGCACAGCAAGGTAAGTTAATTTATTTTCTTAAAGCTTGGTTTTAAATGTTTAATTTCAGCTACATATAATATATTCTAGTGCCTTCCCCTAAATCTGGCGGTAGTTGCTTAGATCAAGATATTAGGGCTTGACTCAACTTCCATTAAAATCAAAGGGAATTTTTCTGTTGACTTCACCGGAAGTTAGATCAGGTAGTATTCTTTGAGAAGCAAGCCTTCTTTGAAAGCCTATCGTATCTGAAAACTGTAGGCTTTTGGTTGGCAAGTACCGATTCTAGGTTTGCATATGGATCCTGTTCCAAAACATATTTCAGAGAAGATATCTGCTACAAAAGTTGTCAAATAAAATTATAACAATAGGTCAATGAATGAAGTTTGAAAAGTTTATCTCTAAGAATTGGTCATTTAAAAAAAATCAAAATATATTAATATTTTCTGACTTAAAATCTACCTTAATTAAGTAAATTGCAAACTTGTAACTTGAATAATATTTGCATGTCCTCAAATGAAAAACATTAATTTTCTTTCACCGAGGGCATCATTGACATGCATAGAATCTTTGTTACCAGTGCTCACTACGGCACTCTGTGTATCTGCTGGGACAGGACCAGCTTCGTTTTCAGTATCCATGCCTCTTTCAGGACCCAGTATATGGTCAAGGTACGTACCAGTACTGTCAACTGTTCCTTTGGTACCAATGGCACCACTGGGTTAAGCCGTGGATGACACTGGACACGATAGTCCCATCAGGAGTGGCCCCACTGCCACCATGAAGCTATTTGAAGAGATCCTCACAGTTGAGCTCAGAGGCATCTCCCTCCCCTTCCCCATCTCGCTCTTGCTCTCGAAGATCATCGAAACACAGCAGGAATCATAGTCAGTACGGGGATCAGTACCATTCCTGCAGTAGAGACAGGGGACCCTGGCCTAGTTCTTTCTGGCTGCCGATGCCATATCCTTATCTGCAGTGGCCTCTGTGGAATCCCTGGGAAGTCCTCCTTCAACAAAGTCCCAGTCGTCTGCTCACTCTAGGGCAGAATTACCTGTACCTCCAGTAGGATTCCCATTGGAATCACCAGTCCTGCAGCGACCAGCAGAGGGGGCTTCCTCTGCAATAGGGCATCCTGAATCTTTAGGTCAATCAGATGTCGTTCCTCAAGTCATTCCATTGGTCCCAACTAGATCTTCCTCCTCATCAATGGATGACGCAGCAATACTCTAGTCCTCATCTCCAGTACCAGAAGATTTCAGGTCATATTAGGATCTGCTAGATGTATGGTGTCAGCCTTAGGTGTTCAGACCCAGTTTGTATAGGAAAACACAAATAAATTGTAGAATATCCTCCAGCCATCACCTCCTTGGAGAGTTTCACTCCCTATAAATGAAACAATACTAGAGCCTGCTAAATTCCTATGGAATGCCCTGGCTTCATTAATACCCACAGAAAAGCACACTGACAAAAAATACCATGTGCCAGGCAGGGCTTCCAATGTTTTTTCTCTCGTTCAGCTCCAAGTTCCCTGGTTGTGACAATAGCAAATGAGCGAGTGAGACAGGGAAGATATAAATCTACACCTAAAGAAAGAATCTAAAAGGTTAGATTTGATGAGGAGAAAGATCTATTCGACTTCTTCTTGCAGATGTGTATTTCAAACCAGCAAGCTCTGTTATTGAAATAGCATTCCAGTTCACAAAATCCTATGTCCAAATTTTTGGACAAGTTGCCAGAATCCTCAAGGGAAGAGTTCAAGGACTTTGATATGAAAGGCTGTTTAGTGGCCAAAACCTCGTTACACCTGCCCTGGATATAGTGGATGCTTTGTCTAGGCTCATGGCCTCAGCTGTAACAATTAGAAGAATCTTGTGGTTAAAAAACTCTAGTGTAGCTCCTGAGATCCAACAATGCATTGAAGGCTTGCCATTTCATGGTCACTTGCTGTTCTCAGAGAAAATTGATGACACAGTTTGAGCTGACAGAGTCTTTCAGGGAACTCCCACATCACCTTATGCTCATTGGGGATTTATACACAGGCCACAAAGAGATGGCATTTTGAGAACCAACAGAAACAGCAATATTGTCCTCAGTGATATTTCTGTCAGTCCTCCTACCCTGTGAGGCAGCAAGATTTCCCTAGAAAAGGACACAAATCACAGAGGAGGAAACTTTCTGAGTCTAACTTTAGTCAAATGGTCCCTCCTTCTCTTCTGGATTTTTGGGACCACATCTGGGGGACAGTGATTCATATTCTCCTTCACAATACCCCTGCAATGTATTACATGAACAAGACTGCTCCAACCCGCTTTTTCAGGAAGCAATAAAGTTTTGTCATCTCTCCATCGAGGAAGATATGCCCACAGCGGCTCATTTGTCATGCTCTCAGAACCAAGTGGCTGATCACCTCAGCAGGTCTGTTTCAATCAAACATGGGTGGTCTCTAAAGAACAGTGTACTGAGGTCCATTTTCTGGCAATAGGGCATCCCTTCTATAGACTTGTTTGCGACAAAAGACAACAGGAAATGTCATCAGTTCTGTTCTCAAGCAAGACTAATCCCAGAGTCTCTTACCAACACCTTCCATCTGAATTGTGAAGGGAACATGATGCATGCTTTCCCACTCTGATCCCTCAAGCTCAAATTGGATCACGCCAGACTGATTCTGAGTGCACCAGCGTAGTCTAGGCCCTTTTGATTTCTGACCTTCTCTCTTTATCGGCTCGACCTTCCCAACCTACTCACTCAACTTCACGGCCAGGTAGTTCATCTGGTTTTGAGCAGTGTGCACCTTACTGCATAGATGCTTTGTGGCTAGACAAAGAGGAGGGGCAATGCTGAGAAGCAGTTAGACACATTCTGCTTAATACTAGAAAACCAGCCACAAAGCCAACCTACTTGCTTAAGTGCACATGGTTTTCTTGGGAAACGTCCAAGCAAATTCAGCCCACATTAGCACAGATTGAGAACATTTTGGATTACTGCTGCAGCTGAGCTCCCTGAAGGTTCACTTGGTGGTGATCTCAGCTTTCCATCCTCCCAATCAAGAGAAGTTGGTATTTTCAAAGCCTCTGACGGTGAGGTTTTTTAAGAGTATTCCCATTTTTTTCCACCAGTGAAGGAAAGAGTACCATTGTGGGACCTAAATATAGTCCTGGGGGCACTGATGGATTCTTTGTTCGAGCTGACAGCAACATGTTCATGGGCTCTCCTCTCACAGAAGATGGCCTTCCTTGTGGCTATAACATTCACAAGAAGAGTTAGTGAGTTGTGGGCCTTAATGGCACATCCTCTATACACTCGGTTCTTCAAGGACAAGGTGGTTTAAGACCATGCCCATTATTTTTGTACAAAGTGGTATCTCGGTTTCACCTTATTCAGGTTATTTACTTACCTATATTTTTCCCAAACCACATTCAAGTGTGGAAGAGCAGCATCTATATAGCTTAGATGTCAGTCGATGCTTAACATTTTATTTAGAAAGGACTAAGCCATTTCATTTATCACCTCGACTCTGTGTCCTACACTGAGCAGATGAAGGGACAATTTCCAGGTGGACAGTTGCCTGCATTACCACTGCTTATGGAGTGGCTCATATGATGCCTCCACAGTGATTGCAGGCTCATTCACCGAGAGCTCAGGTGACGTTGGATGCATTCCTTAAGGATGTCTCAGTTGTGGATGTCTGCAAGGCTGTGATGTGGTCTTCTGTACATACCTTTGCTAGACATTACACTATCACCCCAGCATCAAGATCAGATACAAACTTGGGGAAGGCAGTCCTGAAATCACTATTTAAATAGACTCCGAGCCCACTTCTTGCTGTAGCTGCTTGTGAGTCACCTGAGTGGAATACTTGTCTACAGCCCCTCGAAAAAGAAAAGATTGTTACTTACCTGCATTGTAACTTATTGTTCTTTGAGATGTGGGTGCAGACATGTATTCCATGACCCGCCCTCCATCACTCTTCATCAGAGTCTTCAGCCAGTGATTTTGGTGGGAAAGAACTGAAGGGGGACAGGGCAGTTCTGCCCTTTTGTAGCCGTGGGAAGGGCTATGATGGGGGAGCACGAGCACCACCTCCTTGGGTACTACTAAGCAAAATTCTCTGACTTTAGCACATTGGGTGCATGCACACATGTGTGGAATACATGTCTGCACCCACATCTCGAAGAACAACTGTTATGGTACAGATAAGTAACCATCTTTTTCATAAAGCAACAGAGGGTCCTGTGGCACCTTTGAGACTAACAGAAGTATTGGGAGCATAAGCTTTCGTGGGTAAGAACCTCACTTCTTCAGATGCAACTGAAGAAGTGAGGTTCTTACCCACGAAAGCTTATGCTTGCAATACTTCTGTTAGTCTCAAAGGTGCCACAGGACCCTCTGTTGTTTTTTACAGATTCAGACTAACACGGCTACCCCTCTGATACCATCTTTTTCATGGTGACTCTCTTGTCATAATAGAAATGTTTGCTGTACTGTTCACCTGTCAATCCATCCTCATATATTAATTTTCCATGCATGCTTTTTCTCTCTTCTGGGTTTCCCAATGCATTGATACCTATAGTGATGCACACATGTTGGACTAAATTCACAGTTGGTGCAAGTGGGCACCATTCTGAATCTTGAAACTAAATTCACAGAAAATGTTGTTTCATACTTCCATAGAGTTTAAGGCCAGAAACCACAATTTGATCATCTAATCCAGGGGTCGGCAACCTACGGCACGCGTGCCAAACACGGCATGCGAGCCGATTCTGAGTGGCACGCTGCCTGCCCAGTGAGAGGAGGAGGAGGAGGGACAGAGGGGCCGGAAAGCGCCACGCTGGGGGAAGAAAGGGTAGGGGGGGAGCTTGGCTGCCACAGGACCAAGCTTCTGCCTCCTGCCCCGGCAAGGGAGAGCGGTGGGGGGGGGGTCCCAGCCCCCCGCCGCACTCAGCCTCCCCGCCCACCGTTCTCCCCTGCGGGGACAGGAGACAGAAGCTTGGTCCTGCGGCCGCCA